ATCTTCGGTTTCAGCCTGACAGCGTCCAGTCGAAACACGGTTTTCCAAAGGGACTTAGATCTGCTCCTTCCCGCCTCCCCTCCCTCTTGGTGGCACAGTTGGGTTCATGGGTTACTGTCTGGGTTCTGTTTGGGGGTCTCAACACATCCCGGTAGGTTTTAATTAGTGGTGGTTTGGAGTGCGTGACACAGGATGACGATTGGGAGTCAGAGCTGTTCCAAAGGTATATACTCAGAGATATATACCCTTCCTCACTCCTGCTACTCTGTGTCCCCCCTTTTCTTTTAAACCCTTCCCCACCGGCCCCCTGTAGGTAACCAAGCACCTTCAGGTCTCCAGGACTTGAAGAACCACCTGCCACGCCCTGGGCTGAGCACGGCAGGTGCTGAGGGGACCAAGATGCTCACGGGGCTCACAGTCAAGTGGTGCAACAGTCATGGGACCAGGCGGTGACAGCAGGGTCACTGGGTCCGTGTTGGGGGAAGGATGTTGGAGTGGCTTGACTGGGGCTCCCCATGTCCTACTTTGGGGAGCCTGCGACTGTGACCTTATTTGGAGAAAATGTCTTTGCAGATGTAATTAAGGGTCTTGAGAGGAAGAGATCCCGGATTATTGGGGTGGGCCCTGAATCCAATGACTGCTGAGTCAGGACATTGGGGACAGAGAGAAGACACAGACGCACAGGGAGGCAGAGGCTGGAGGGATGCGGCCGCAAGCCAAGGGACGCCTGGGGCCCCAGAAGCTGGGAGAGGCAGGAAGGACCCTCCCCTGGAGCCTCTGGAGGGAACGCGGCCCTGCAACCCCTTGATTTCAGGCGTCAGGCCTCCAGAATGGGAGAGAAGGAAGATCTGCTGTTTTTAGCTACCAGCTTATGATCCTCAGTTACAGCCGCCCCAGGAAACTAATTTGGGGACCACGAAGCACTAAGTGCTTGGGGGGCTAGGAGGGGCCCCTTGGAAGGGCCGGTGCCACAGAAACTATTTCCAGACGCCCACATCTTGGGTCTTGTGTTTCTAACGTAAAGGGGGGTGGGGAGGCTGTCTTGGCCGGGAGGCCCCTCCCGCCTCCCTCTTCCCCACAGAAGCTGCCAGGAGGGGAGTCGTTTTTCCCTGTCGCCTGGCAAGTGGCCGGAATGGATGTGCACGGAGGCGCCGGGCACCGGACCCTCACTCTTCTGGCCTCCCCTCGGCCGGCCATGTGTCACCCTCGGGCTGCCCATGGCAGCAAATAATTCTTATTTTCTCCATTAGCAGAGCAACAGCGCTCAGTAAATCTGAGCCATAAATAACAGTCCCGGGCGTGGGTGCCAGCGCCCGGAGGCAGGTCCCCCTGCCAGAGCCACAGTGTCCTCTGTGCCCGGCCTCTGGGGCCCTGGGGTCTGTGGGACGCTTCTCTCCCTGGTGGTTATTTAGGGGCTGGAACTCTGTGTCCCCAAGCAGCCTGGCTGGGGCGCAGGGCGGCCTTGGGGGGGAAGACGGCCGGTGACAAGATTTCAGCATCATCATAAAAGCCATGAATCGTGACATCGGGGTTCCAGCCAGGAGTCACACTGCAGAGGGGAACAGGGGCTCAAATCTGCTGTCCTTCTCTGTCCTGGCCAAACGGGGGACTTGGGGGTCGGGGGACAGCCTGCAGGGGCGTGTTTGGCCCTCCCGCCAGCGGTCAGCAGGATGAGCAGATGCCCGAGGCGTGGCGGGCAGAGCCCCCCGATGGACGGATGGTGGATGGAGAGAGGGTCCCTGGTCAGTCTGCTCTCTCTCTGCCACGCTCCCCGGGAGGGGCAGGTAGGGGGCAGCCGGCCTACCTGGGGGCCTTTGAGAGACACGGTGGGCAGGGGCCCCCGCAGGAGAACGATCTTGTCACAGGCACAGAAAGGGGACATGGAGGCCGCCACCTCCCACTTACTCTAGCTCTGGGATGAGCACGATTTCTTCTGTAAAGGGCCGGATACCAAATATGTCCAGCTTTGTGGGTGAAGTGGTCTCTGTTGTTACTACTCAGCTTTGCATTTGATGATACTAAATGAACGAGCGTGGCTGTGTGCCAATAAAACTTTATTTATAAAACCAAGTGGAGGGCCGGCTCCGTGGCTTAGCGGTTAAGTGCGCGCGCTCTGATGCTGACGGCCCGAGTTCGGATCCCGGGAGCGCCCCGAGGCACCACTTCTCCGTCCAACGCGAGGCCGAGTCCCACGTACAGCAACTAGAAGGATGTGAACCTATGACATACAACTATCTACTGGGGCTTTGGGGGGAAAAAACTGAATAAAAAAAATCTTTAAAAAAAAAAAAAAAAAAAAAAAAAAAAACCAAGTGGAGGGCCGGGTCTGGCCAGAGGGCTGTAGGTGGCGGGGCTTTGCCCTAGGAGGATGGGGTACTCAACACCATGAGCCCCCAGCCCGAGTCTTTCTGATGGGCCATCCCTTGAGGTGTCAGATCCATTTAAACATCACGTCCCAGAAGGGTCTCCCTGACATTCTATGTGACAGGTCTCTGCAACCACGAGTTACCCTCGTCTCTGCCCCGCTGTTGTCCCGCAGGGCGCGTGTCAAAGCTGTACTTATGCTCCCTTCCGTTGCCATCGGCTGCCTGCTTTCCTGAACCCCAGAGAGGCAGCGACTGTTCCTCCCTTTTCCCTCCGCCATCTCCCCAGGTCCTGGCACAGAGCAGTTGTGCGGAAAAGATCTGCTGCTCAAATCAGTGACTCTGGTGCAGAGCACAGGCCCGGTGCCCAGGTGCAGCAGACCCCATAGGCTCTGCACGGCCACACATCTGGGGACCAGCCGGTGGCTCGGCCCTGGCCGCACACCACGATGGCCTGTCCCAAATTGCCTTCCTGTTTTATGACATTTCAGAGAGCGATATGGAAATGGCGGGCCACCTGCAGCCCTGCCTGGACCCCTGGGATAGCGGCTGGTGCTGCTGCCGTCTGCAGCCCCCTCCTCGAGGCTGAGGACCGACCGTGTCCACCAGGACCCGGCAGGCTGAGAGGGCCCCCAGCAGCAGAGTGGGGAAACTGAGTCCTGGCACTGTCGAGAGGACGTTGGGGTCAGCATCTCTCCGAAAAGCAGGGTCTGAGGAGCGGGGTGAGGGGGGCAGCGGCTGGAGATGTCATCAAAGGCCATCTCTGCTCAGGACACAGCCGCCCTGCGTGAACACCCATTCTGCAGAGGGAAAACCGAGGCCCCCAGAGGGGCGCCCCTGTCTAACATCCCCACATCCCTGGTTTCCCCCACGTCACTGGCTGCTCCTCCCACCGTCCTGCACGGACACCCTGGGGCCCCGTCCTGGGTCCCCTTCTCACCCGTCCAGTAAATGCATTCCGTGTGCTGACAGCTCCAAAAGCCCTACCCAGCCCCCAGACCTGTGTGTCCAGCCGTGTGTGTTCCCGTGGGGACACTGTCCAATCTGAGCTGTGATCTCCCCCCGCCCCCAGCCTGCCCGTCCCAGATCACGGCAAAGCCATCTGCCCAAGTGCAGTCCCCTCCACCCTGGTCCCCACCCCTTGCCCCCCACAGTCTGTCCTCCCTGCAGCCCCCACCAGAGGGCGCCCGTGAGCCCAAGTCGGGTCCCCCTCCTCTGCCCACAGCCCTCCAGGGCTCCCCCTCCCTCAAGGGAGAAGCCCAAGTCCTCCCTGCGGCCCACCAGCCCACCAGGCCCCTGCAAGACCTGCCCCGTCCCCTGCCTGCGCTCCCTCCTCCCTCTCTCCCCCTCCTCCCTCTCCTCCAGCCACACGGGCTCCTCCTCGCTGTTCCTCCAACACATCAGGCCCAGTCCTGCCCCAGGGCCTTTGCATGGGCAGTTCCCGGATGTCCCCGTGGCTCCCTCTCTCTTCTCCCGTAGGACTCCCGACGCAACACACCCTACACAAAGTGTCCTTGCTTTGTGCATTCTCTCGGAGCTGACGTCCACACAGATCACTTACTGTCTGCCCCTCCCACTGGGGTCAGTTCGGGTGCTGAGTCCCCAGGACTTGCTGAGTGACACATTCAGGAACGCCGGGCACCCAGCTGCAACCTCGGGCCATGACACCCCATCTCACACGCCCAGTGGCTGCCCACCACAAAACACGCTCCCAAGCTCCAACGTCACAGGAACCGGGTTGAGGTGGGCAGGGTAGGGGGGGAGGGTGGCTGCTGGCCCCTGACAAGCAAGGAGTCAGACAGAAGATCTCAGCTCGGTCGTCTGGCAGACGGACCTGTGGCCACAGCCACCTCTGCCACCGGGGAGGGGTCTGTGCAGACCCAGGCTGTGGACACCCAGCTCGGGGAGGTAAGTTCCTCTATCCCTGAGGCCCCCCAGCCCCACCCTGGGGTACACCGTCCCCCTCCCCGGTCCCAGCTCGGAAATGAAGACACTCCGACGACACGGGCTGTAATTCATTATGAGCTCATGAGCCTTTAATTCATTATGAACCTAGAGGCAGGAAATTAGGCAAAAATACAGCACATCCTTAACCTCGGGTGGGAAAAAACCGGGGTGAGGGGTGTTTTTGTTTTTCGTTTTTGCACATGGACACAGATATATCTTTGTGGGGAAATGTGCGTTTCCCCCGGGCTGTGCCGCAGCCAGTCTGTACCCGTCGTCCCAGAACCCGCGACGGGGCGCGACCCACAGGGACCCCCCCCACCAGGCTGCCTCTCCTCCAACTCCGGGCAGCGGGGCGTCTGCTCGCTTCTTTACTCTCTTTACAATATAAATAGCATTTTCAAACTACATATGAATACAGCGAGGGCGCCCCGGGCAGGCTGCTGCATGCAGAGGGGACCCCGGTGCTGGCTGGCTCCCCGGGACCCCTGCCCACTCAGGGCCCCTGTTCCCCTCCCCCCACCAAGAAAATGAAAGGTTCTCGGCTCACGGACATTCTCTCCATTTTCCTGAAATGGTTTTCTCTGGCCCAGCAACCGTTAGGACACTCTTTTTTCTATACAAGCAAATTACGCTCTGGGTCCCTCGGCAGGGGACAGCCGAGGTGGGGAGGGGAGGGCTCTGCAGAGAGGTGGGGGCGGGGGCCGAGCTGGGGCTCCTCTCTCCCCAGCCCGTGCTGAGGGGCACATCTTCTCATAAAGTCAACCCACGACCCCTAAGAGGCAGGCCCCACTCCTGTTTGGCTCTCCCCCAGACACACAGACCCACGCGTGCAAACAGGACAGACGCCGCCAGCCCCTCGGGATCCGACGAAGGCCCCCTGCACACAAGGGGCCGCAGCCAGAGCAGGCGACACTGGCCTCGCCTGAGTAGGGCCACCTGGAGGGCATGACCGCGCTCCGCGTCCTCCCGCCCGGCCGCAGCGAGCCCGCCACACTCGGCAGTGGACAGACGGCCCGGGCCGCGCACGTCGAGGGGCCCCTCACCCCGAGCAGGCCGGGGGCGGCCCGGGCGGCCCTGGGGACACTCTGGCACGGAAGCCCCCGCACACGGATGCTTCGGCGGGGGGATGGCTCTCGAGGGGGAAGAAGCAAAGATGGAACCAACCAGAAGAGAGGGTTTATTCTGCAGAGGCGAGCGCAGACAGGAGGGGGCGGAGCGCCTCCTGTCGGGTGCAGGGACCCCCCCCCAGGCTCGGGGAGAGAACAAGGCCGTGCGTCCCCGGCGTCCTGCCCGCGCTCCGGGCACCTCCGGCCCCCCACGGCCGCAGCGACCACCCTGCCCACTCAGACAAGTAAGGTTTTAAAACAACAAACACCAAAAAAAGCGAGATGCTTCCATCTCCCTCAGCGCATCTCGGTTCGGAAAAAAAGAACGTTTGTGTGTTGTTTTTAAAGCCACAAATCTAGAAAACAACTTTGGGGATTTTTTTCCTTTTCTTTGTTTTCCATTTTTTCTTGCATTTTTTTTAAACAATAGGTATTTATAGAAAGAGCCTCCCAAAGGTGGTCTATGTACACGAGTCACAATCTCAAGGCTCGGGAGGCAGGAGACGCAGTAGCACCTTGTGGAGAAGAAGAGCTTACGCGGTTTACGGGTCTGAGTCGCGCGCGGCCGGCGAGCCCGCGCGGCCCTGCTCCCTGAGTCCGGGCGCGTGCCGGCGTCCTGCGCGCTCCTGTGGCCGCAGCGCGCGCCCGCGGCGGAGGTGGCCTCTGGGGCCGCGAGGCCAGGACAGGAATTCACAGCAAGCGAAGGCCAGGGCCGCCCGCCTCGCTGGGCTGAGGTCGCCGGGCGGCGGCTGTCCTAGAAGGGGGCCCCGGGCCGGCCCTGCGCCTGCAGCAGGCTCTCCATGAAGGCCAGGTAGTCCGGGCTCCGGCCCGAGTCCTCGGGGGCGCGTGGGGCACCCACCCGCGGGCGCTTGGCGGCCTTCACCTCCTCCCCAGAGAAGACGTTTTCCTGGGGCGCCCCCGTGCTCACCGACTGCGGGAGACCAGAAGGCACAGTGGTTAGTGCGGAGGGGGCCCCGGGCTGGAGGTGTGTCCCCAAGCTCACATGCTGAAGCCCTAACCCCAGGGTGAGGGTGTTCGGGGCCTCGAGGAGGGGACGAGGGCACGAGGGTGGGGCCCTCACGAAGGGAATCAGGGCCCTTATAAAGGGATCCCAGAGCTCTCTCTTCGCCACATGAGGACGCGGCGAGAAGGCAGCCGTCTGCAGCCCAGGAAGGGGCCTCACCAGACACCCAGCCTGCCGACCCCCGGCCTCCAGGACCGGAAGAAACAGCGGCTGTTGTGTAGGCCCCCTGGTCTGTGGTGCTTTTTCTAGCAGCCCAGACAGACTGAAATTGGGCTCCTCTGGACCAATGCCCGCAGCCACTGTCCCTCAGCCGACAACCCACTGAGACGGACAACGGATCACTGGGGCGGCCGCTCAGCACTCCTGCCTTTGCACAGACCCCCAGTCCTCGTGTGACCTTCCCAGCATGGGGTGGGGGCCCCACACCCCCAGTCTCCAGCCCCTGGAGGGGCGAGCAGCCTGAGCCCGGTCTGTCCTGCCCGATGGGGGCTACAAGGAGCGGTGGGCGTCTCCTGGCACAGCCCGGCTAAGCCACCCACAGGTGAGGGAGGCCAGACCGTTCATCCGTCTGGCACCTCCCATCTGTCCCCAAGGGGAGCTGGCGCCAGAGGTCAGCTGTGCGACCCCACAGGCTCCAACAGCTTGGGCTCGTTCTTCCATGGCTGCAGCCGCCTGCTCCCCCCAAACCCTGCCTTTAGGTTAAACACAGAAGAAAGAAAACCTGAAAGGCCTGGAAAGAAAGCCAGCCGCCAGCCCTCGCCTGGGGACCCGCTGCCCCTCTGCAGAGCCATGAGCCCCCAAGAGCGTTTCTCTCTGCACGGTCAGCCCTGCAGCTCAGATCTGGAGTTCGGGCCTCTGCACCCAACGCTCCGAGCCCTGGAGCCGTCAGGACGTGTGGGCGCGCAGCTGGGTGGGTTTCTCTCTTCCCCAGGGGAAGGGCCAGGCCCTCCCGTCCACCCCTCCCGCCACAGACAGGTTCCCGCCTGCTGTCCCCCCGCAGGTGGGGAGGTCAAGGCCATTTGGGACAGGTCGCTTCCCCCAGGACCACTTAGGGCCTCTGGGGGCCACTCCCTCCCCCTTGCCCGGCCACGTACCAGCCGCGACCGGACCCTCTTGGGGAGCTCCTCGTCCAGGGTGAAGATGTCACCGCGCTTCACTGTCAGCTGGGACCCGTCCTCAAACTCCACCTGCGAAGTGGGCGCAGTTCTCAGGGCCCACCAGCCACCCACCCTTGCCGGGTCCCGGCGCCCATGGCCACCACGACTCACCCGAGAGAGGGGTGCTGGCCCCGGGGCGTCCCCCCGGCCAGCTCACGTCCCCACTCATCACGGGAGGGCGGCGAGAGGGAAAGACATGGAGAAAGGGATGGAGGTGCCAAGGAACAGGAGAGGGAGGAAGGGGGGGGGACGGGACACCAGTGGTTTTTTCTCTAAGATTCCACACTGTTAAAATAATTTCTCCTCACAGTTTAAAAGATTAAAAAGAAATCAGGGGCTCTGACCTGTACACTTAAAAATGGTTAAAACACTAAATTTATGTTATGTATATTCTACCACAACAAGAAAATATCAGGAAGGCACCTAAAGGGGAAAATACCCGATTCGGACGCCTGTTGCAGCCCGAGAATAAACACGCTCTGGTCTGCTAAGTTAGGGGGCGGCACCCCCACGCCCAACCCCCCCACGTGCCCCAGCCCCCGTCCTGGTGGTCCCCACCTCCATCTCTGTCGGGCTTCCCCCCCCACCCCCACCTCCATCCCCATCCCCGCCCCTGTCCCCGCCTCCCTCCCTCTCTGTCCCCGCTGCCCCGCTCACCTGGTAGATGTGACTGGTCACAGAGGAAATGAACCTGGCCTTGTAGATGTTGCCGTCGGTCCACCGGAGCTCCACGAGCTCGCCCTCGGGCGGGGGGCCCAGCCGGACACAGTCTCTACTCTGGAGGGAGGACGGGGAGGCGGTGAGGCCGGGCCGCCCCGCTGGCCGCTGTAGGGGTTTAGATCCTCCCCAGGTGAGCACGTGGAAGGAAGCTCCATGTGATGGGCCATTGCAGCAGGAGGCGAGGGGCGCTCTGCTTGAGCCCCGAGGCCAGCTGGGCGCACACCCGGGGTCGGGGGCCCGCCGAGGCCCACCAGGACGGACAGTGCCGTCTGCTGTGCCCGCAGACACAGGCGGCGCGTTCCCTGCAGGACCCGCCCCGCGGGGTCGCCGGTGACCCGGACCCCGGGACCGGAGGGATGGGGCCGCCCCGCCCCCCCGCCGCGCGCCCGCGGCTCACGGTGATGCTCTCGGGGTACAGGTTGTCGCTGTAGGAGCCGTCGTCGAAGTTCACTTCGTAGAAGGTCTGCGACGTGGAGCCGATGACGCGGCAGCGGTAGTACAGCCCGTTGCGGTTCTTGGTGATGACCACCTGGCCCAGGGACACGGCCCGCAGGAGCTGGGCCTGGGGCGGGGG